TGCACTCCCTAACTAAAAATGACGGTAACAAATGGTTTGAAATGGTCTCTGGAGGATTATTGACTTTTTAATTCAGGCCGCCATCAATCCTCATTTATATTTTATAATATGTATCCCGGGAAAAATAACCTGCTTTTAAATGTGTAGCTTGTCTCTGAGGTTAAATCGCTGTTATGCCAATCACTCAGCCTTCAGTCTGTGCTTCAGATCTTCAGTTAATACCCAGAGACTAAATGGGCCCCTATTGTATAGGATAGGTTTTTTCCAAAATATGTATTTTTATTTGAATGAGGAATTATTGTTCATGGATTTTCTTTTTGTCTCCTCATCAGTATATCAATGAGGTAGAAGCAGCTAGGAATACAGGGAAAACTCATCACCCTGTTCCAAGTTTTCTCTGGGGTGTCAGTGACTACCTAGGTGCGTGCCTGATGTGTCTACATTTTTGAATATGAATAATGTAGAATTTGTTGTTCTCATAGTTGACTAACCTATAGTTTCTTTTCAAACTAATTCTCAAGTAGATCTAGGTTGTCTCTCTTTCTCTCTCTCTCTCTCTTTTTTTTTTTTTTTTCTTTTTGCTGCTTCAAAGAATGTTGCAAGGAGCATTGATCCTTACTTTGGCTGTGAATTTTGGCGAGAAACACTTTCTTCTATTAAATATTTATTGAGAGTACATATCAATGCTGGTTCTGTACCAATCTTCTTTAAAAAGCTCATCTTCTCACTCCCTATTTATTAAAAGATCAGAGGTCTTGTCTGAGAATTTAATTCATTTTCACTCCAGATCTTAAGAAAATGTGAGTTTGTTTTTAGATTTTAATCAAATAAAATGCAACAGGAAACTACTCAGCCCCAAATATATCAGATGGGCCTAAATGTGTGCTTTATGTTGCCATGAAGGCAGACACAGAACTACCATTACAAAAAACTACTCAGCCCCAAATATATCAGATGAGCCCAAATGTGTGCTTTTTGTTGCCATGAAGGCAGACACAGAACTACCATGAGAACCCTTAAGAAATGTATTTGATATTTTGAAACAAACTTTTAAGTGGTCAACAAGGAAAAAACATGAGGTGTGGTTTTCCTCCCTCCTGTGATACATGTTTCTGTTTTTCTTTTGAATTACCTGGAGAGTTAGGAAGAGTGCAGTAGACATCTTCTTGTGCTTAGAGCTTTGATGGTCTTTTTTTTAATTTTTTTTTTTTATGTTTCTGCTCCTAAGAATATGAAAGGTAAGGTATAAAGTGAGCTCGCAGCTATGGATTCGAGGATCGTTGACCCTTTATGAGACCTCTCCTCTCTCCTTTTTGTTCCTGTGTTGTACTTGACATGAGCTTAGTTTACGATCTGTGGAGTGTGAGGGCGGCGGAGTGATGGGCTTTTCTGTAGTCCTGACCTGGTGGCTTCGATCAGGCTTTGACTTGCTCCACTTTCCAGTCAGCAGGCCTGCGGGGCTGACACTGTTAGGCAATCCACTCTGCGTAAGCTGAGGATCCTGCAGTCGTCAGAAAGACGTGGCAGCGTTAACTGGCTGAACTGGAGTCAGGAGGAGAGTCCTGGTTTGTAGCTGGTCTTGGTGTCGACCTTGTGTCTTTGAGTCTTTGCTGTTCTGATGTTAAATGCAAAAGATTCCGGGTGGTTCAGAGTGTACGCTGTACCAAAGAACAGCACAGGCCGCTGTCAGTAAACACGGAGCTCTGTGAGGCTGGCCCACAGGGGACGCTCTGCCCAGGTGCAGAAGCCTCGGTTCACGCTGAGCGCCCCGTGCCCTTCACTGGGCTGGGGTAGGTGGTGGCATCGGGCCCCGGGGAGCAGCGCGAGCTCGCTCTCTCACTCGCTCGCGCTCTCTCTTTCTCTCATTCATGGAAGAAATGAATACCTAAGACTTTTCTTATGAGGAGCAGGATGGTCTAGATGAAGAAAACTTTGCCATCTGTTGTCTTTGACTCAGATGAGATACTTCTTCGGAAACTAGTCTTTGCCCTGTTTACGCAGCCACGCCCTCACTGAGGCAGGTACAGGGTGCAGGTGGTCTCATGGTCATTTCAGAGAGCACACGCCGAGCTGTGAGTGTGGGGCAGGAGCAGGTGTGAAGAGCTGGGGCCACACCTCACGTGGACACGTCAGATCCTTCGGTGCCCAGTCACTGCTACGTGTGGAGATGCAGCGATTAGGTAAGGCCAGGGTCTCTCATCAAGGGCTCTGTTACTATTGACATATCATATAGACATGTGTCTACACACACACGCACATATACATGTGGACACATACACACAGACCTATATACACACAGACACATACACACAAGCCTATACACACACGGGTACATACACACATACCTATACCCACTCATAAATATATACACGTATATAAATACACATACATGTAGGCACATGCACACGCATATACACAGACCTGTATACACACATGTATACATACATATAGCTTTACGAGATACATCATTTTTTCACTTTCATTACTCCAGTTGGTTTTTGAAGCCCTAAATGTCAAATGTACATGCAAGAAACCAGGGTTGACCAAGGGGTAAAACTGCACCCCAGACCACGTAACTGCTGCGTGGCAGATCGAGTGCTGATCATTTGCTCAGTCTAAACGTCACTAATGACAGCAGAGAAACTGTTCTCATATCCCAAATGTCAGTGTGTGGACAGCTTGCACTCTGTAACATGGAAGAGCCCGGTCTGTGACTATGTCTCATGCCTGTATTAGAGAGCGCCTACTCGTTTTCCTTGAAACGCAGTGTGCTTTGTATGCCGGAGTTACAACGTCTAAGCCATGTCTCACTGCACCCTCATTCCCACCCAACCTCCAAAGTCCCCGTGGCATGATCACTGGAAAATTATACAATTAATAGACCACTGCCGTATGATTCCTGGACCATGCTCCACAAACTTTGGCACATTATAATGGCTTTTGTCATGTTCTCAGAGTTCTTGACATGGATAAATTTTCAAAACATACTTGTTAACTGAGTGAATGCGAGACTTCCCTCCCAGCGTTGTCAGTGGCAAATGGAGTAATCGACTCTCAGTACAGACACACGACAGGGTTAGCTGTCCCCATGACTCAACTCTGTACGCTCACCGGGGTTGGACCAGACACTCAGCCTTGGGTCCTCTGCAGAGGCCTCCCACTGTCTGCCTGGCGTACTCCTGAGAACACTTCGAAACCCCGTGTGTGTTCTCTTAAAGCCTTCCATGTCTGCTTCTCTCTGTGTATTTATATATAACGATATATAGTAATTAAAGCAGTCTGTGACTCATTAGGTAAATATATATACAAAATTAATATAAGTACATATATAATTAAATATATTTTATTTCTTTCTTCAATTTAATATGCTTGTATCATAGTGACAAACATTTAAAATGTCTTGAGTGGTGCTGTTTAATAAAGCAACAAGTATTAAATATGACAGTATATCTGATTAACAAGTGGTACTCAACCTTTTTGAAAAATACGTTCCAATATTATTTTATTTATTTATTTATTTAGGAGATTTTTTTTTTTTTTTTTTGCTATAGGTTGCGTGTACTTGACATAAAGACAGAGAGAGACAGAAAGACAGAAAGCCAGAACTCACTCCCCCAGGGGGGATGGTCACGCCGCAGTCCCTTCTCCTCCATTCTCCTCTTGGGATCTTGGGCACACACGCACACGCGCCTGGAGTGAGTTTAAGCCACCAGGTCCGGGACTCAAACTGCTGTCAGCTACATGGGAGTTCAGCGACATAGCCATTACACTAACTGCTGGTCCCATGTTCAAATATTATTTAAAAATTGCTGAGAATAATGAAATGAGACCTAAGTTAATAAAAGGATAAATCATGTTTATGGTACCTTTAGTTATTTCCTCTGGTTATCATTCTATTGATTTGAGCTATCAGAGTTCTCTGTTCATGGGGGATTGCACACGTGTGTAGGTCAATTGGTGAATGATGCCACCCTACTAATTATTCTTACCAGTTCTTACCGCCTTATCAATAAGTTCTGTCTATTCATGAATATAATACATTTTAGCATATTTATGTTGTTTTAAATTCTTTCAATCCTATTTTGTAGTGTTCAGTATAAAAATCTTGCACCTCAGGTGACATTTATACCAGAGGATTTTATTTTTTGATTCTATTATAAATTAAATAATTGTCTTAATTTCTAAACATGCTATAGTAAGGAAGTTTTCCCATCTCTCCTTTTCTATTATGTATTCATTTAGGTCATTGAATTAACAGGTTTTAATTCCTTTCACTTCTTTATAATTGCTAATAATTTTAATGTTCAAGCCTATTTGGCCAAGAGGACCTTTTTGAAATAGTTTCTGTGACTTTTTGATTTGCCTCTCATTCTTTGAAGACTTCTTAAGTTCTTCTTTTTTTTTTTTTTGGAGAGGTTTTTGCTATAGGGCACGTGCACTTGCCAGAGAGACAGAGAGAGACAGAAAGCGAGAAATCACCCCCCAGGGGGGCTGGTCATGCTGCAATCCCTTCTCCATTCTCCTGTCAGGATCTTGGGCACACATGCACATGCGCCCGGTATGAGTTTAAGCCACCGGGTCTGGGACTCGAACTGTGGTCAACTATATGGGACTCCAGCAATATAGCCATTATGCTAACTGCTGGTCCCTTCAGGACTTCTTTAACTCCTGATGCAAGATACCCCAGAGTCCTCTCGTGCTCTCCTTGGCACAGTCCCAGAGTACTGCCTCTCTAAGTGACCCTCGTGCAGTTTAGCAGAAAATGGTATCTGGAAACCAAGATCTGTGGACATAAATAACATTAGGTTGTTGGGAAAGTCATGGCACATTTTTGCATAGAAAACCAGAAAAAAATATGTCAGGAATTCCCTAACAATATAATTTCATTAATGTATGTAATCCATAATTTCTCATATTGCACATTTTCTTATTTTCTTTTCTTTAAATCTAATGGTGAATCTGGACCATGAATTCACTCTCTCCTCCATGTCTTCCTACAGTCCCTCCAGTCATCCGAGTGTACCCAGAGAGCCAGGCCAGAGAGCCAGGGGTGACGGCCAGCCTTCGGTGTCACGCCGAGGGCATCCCAGACCCGCAGCTGGGCTGGCTGAAGAATGGAGTGGATATCACACCCAAGCTGTCCAAACAGCTCACTCTGCAAGGTGCCTTTTTCTTGCTTCTTCTTTCTTTAAATGAGCACATAGAAATTATATACTAAAGTTCATAACAGATTGTACATAATTTGGAAAAAAAATGAGTCTTGGTGGCAACAGAATGTCATGGGCATGAAAAAACCTTGGCTATATCTAGGACATTATATTTGAAATAGAGTTCTTTAATATCTTTAATGTTTTAAATAATAGTCTTGTCATAATGATTAACTATATCATTATTTTGGTAATAAGTAACATATTAAAGTATGTACCTTTTAAACTTGTACTGTGAATTATAGCAGATATGCTGAACAGAATAATTGGATCTCTTCGTAGAAATACATTTCCGAAGTTACTTTTTAAATGTTTAAATAATATATTAAAGTATGTTTTATAAAGGGTTTCAACAATATAGAACATTTTTCAGTGGAAGTTTTCCAGCATATTTCCAGTAAGTGGATAGAAAAAAAATTAAGACATTACTAAATAAATTTTATATTGACAGTATTTTAGCTATGAAGTTTTCTCATTTTAATATATAAAATATTCTACATATTTTAGTATTCTAAATTGTAAAAATGATTAATCAATTATATCAAAAATACTAATCATAAATTTGTAGAAAGTGAAGAAAAGGTAGTTTCACAAAGCAAAATAATTTTAATAGTGCTGACATAATTGCATGTAATGTGTTGATTATACTCATATCAAGAGGTGTATAAATCTGCGACTAGCTCTATGGTCTGATTCTTAAAGCAGCCAGATTCCACATGACCAACCACGTGGATTGAATCCCACCTCTAGCAGCTTGAAAAATTATCTGGGTGTATGTGCATGCATGCCCAGAATCTTAAAAGGAAGGAGAGAAGGAGAAGGGATTGCGGCGTGACCATGCCCCATAGGGGTTGCTTTCTCCTCCCGTTCTCTCTGAAGCTCTGTGATTTATACCCATGCATGGGCAAGGAGATGCCCAGTGTATTCAGAAACCCAGAACCTCCCTTGCAGGTCAGCCTCCCCCGGTGTCCCACAGCCTGCTCTGCTGTGAGCTGCAGTCTACAGGTTATCTTACCCGAGTTCCTGCTGTACGAGCTTTCTGCTCCTTCTTTCCCTTTACACTTCTTCAACTAAGACTGCTACAAATGAGTGTATTTTCATTTTCTATTATTTCTATCCATTTCTATAAGAATAGTATTCTATTATTTGCATTACTCCACTTAAATCGTGAATGTTAATCAGTGTGTTTTAAAATAACACTTTTACATATTTATTTTTAAATAGGGGTAAACTATACTACACAAGCATACATTTTTCCCCCAGGAGTATTCAGTAAGATAAATAAATAAGGGAGTGGTAACACCCCACACTTCACATCGAAAGTGTGGGGCTCTTGCGAAATAGTTCCTGTCCATTTTAAAAACAGGAGAAAACAGGCAAAGTTTTGAGGGAGTAGAATGAAAAATACTGAGTTTGTCAGAAAAGTCATGATGTATTTTTTTATGTTTTTTTCTATGCAAAAGTGCATCATGACTTTTCTAGTAACACAATGAAAGGAGAATAGTGAGGGGAGTTTGGACACATCTGGGCACAGATTGTGTAAAACAACGTGTGGCTCTGTGCACACTCCACGTCCCCAGATATGACCCATTCGCGAAGTGTCAAGGCCTCCGTGTGTGCGGTCCATGTCTAGGCAGCTGCACCACTGCGGCGACAGACGTGCTGTGAACAAGCGGAGTCAAGTCCCAAGAAAGCACAAATACCTTACTAACAGGTGAATAAAGATAATGCAAGGAGTCCAAAAATGAGCAAAGTAACAGGAGACCAGGTGATACTGCAAGAGAAGAGAAGAGAAAACTAAAAATGGGAAAGAAGTTCAACAATGTCAGGTGTAGAAGTTCGGGGAAGGTCATTAAAGTGAGTTTATATATCAGGTGATCATTTAAAAAGACAGTGCCAGCAGCAATCAGCCCTCAGTGGGTTTAGGAACAAACAGGAGATAATTATAAAATTCCTTTTCCACAATTTGTTAAAGCTGATCTCTGTCTTCCATGAGCAAGCGAGACAGAGAAAGGGAGAGAGAGAAGCGAGCGCCTAATGAGGTCCTGACACCATGACTTACCCCAGCCTCAGCCAGCCCCCGGTCACGGGGAGGAAGGTGCCCAGAATATTCAGGGAGCCCTCTGGGTGCAAACCCAGAACCTTCCCTCATGGGTCAGCACCCCCATACACACCATGTTACTGCTCTGGTACCATCTGGACCTCTTTCTCCAGGTACAGTAGGCAGTGACTGTTGTGGGGGGGTTGGGAATAATGGAAACATTTCTTTATTCTTGGACAGTTGATCCACCTGAAACAAAGATCAGTATTGAGAACAGAGAGGAGGAAGGATGCAGAAAAGCCATAGAAACCAACAAGAAGAGAGAGGAGACTTGCCCTGGAAAGAACAGAGGCCCTCTCCTCTGAGGGGTAGATAAAGATGAAGCTGAGAACGGGATATTTGGGGGGGTGATTTGTGATCCCTTCTACCCAGTTCATGATTTAAAAAGCAAGGTCTCTTGATTGAAGGGAGAAGGTATTATTACAAAGCGAAACATCAAATAAAGAGGAAAGATTTGAAGGAAAAATGAAGTAGGATGTGAAAGCCATTCAGCTGTAAAGGTCATGAAATGAATACCAAGCAGAACTGGATATCCCACTAATTAAAAGCTGTGAATTTGAAAATGAGCAAATGGGTATGCTATAATCTTGTAAATTTCTCAGAGAAAGAGGCGCAGGGACAGGTGAGCGTATTCTAGGTAATGAGGGTTACTAAGGCAGGTGTGTTGGGGAGGAGTGGGCCCGGGCGTGGGTGGTCCTGGCCATCTAGCGGGAGATACCTGGGCACAACAGTTATGTAGGGATGGAGAGAGAGAGAGAGACCTTGGGGCTTGCAGGCTGAGACTGGGAGTCAAAGAAGGGATACACTGATTTGAAGTTTCAATAAAATCTAGAGATTTTAGGCTGTTCCCTGAACAAGTCTTGAGAGAAAAGGAATGGTATTTGAGAGGAATGGCATTTTCCGGGAAACCAGAAGCTGCTGTAGGATTAAACGCATTGCTTACTCCCTGGGGCTTGGAGCAGGGGTCCCTAAACCGAGGTCCGCACACACATCCGTGACACTCTGTTTTCACACATGCAGGTTTCTCTGGGCTTTCTTCTTTGTTGCTGTGTCTCTGTGTTTAGAACACGGCCACACTCGGCACTGAGCACGGCTGCCCTGGCGATGCAGTGGCAGAGCGAGGGCTGTCATGGGCACTGCATGGCATGCAGTATCTGCCGTCAGGTGGCACCAAGCCCCTCTGGAGTAGTGAGTCTCAGCAGGGTCTGGAGATGGGGCTGGGCAGGGAGGCAGTTCAGGGACTCAGAGGACTTCTCTGCCCCTCCACAAGTAGTCACTGCCTGTCCAGGTGCCCAGCACCTGCCCTGAGAGTGTCAGCCTGGAAGGAAGGCTGAGGCATGATAATTAAAAGTGGTTTATTTGCATCAAGGCTTAGGCCGAATCTCCTAGAAGTGGAAATACCTGGCTTCTCAGACCATGTGTTCACTGAAAGGGTGACCAGAAGGCTGGTTTCTGTAACAACGCAAAGGGCAAGAAGTTGAGGTTACAAGTCATTCTGTTAAGAGTTTATGATGGCTCATTTAAAACAGTGGGGATGACTGACCAGCTATTCTTTAATAAAGAATTATTTATTTTAATGAATGAATGAATTCATTATTAATTTTATTTGACCAGATTGAGAGAGGGCAAGTGAGAAAGTGACCCGCTAAGTCCAGGACTTGAACTGTGGTTGGCCATGGGGAGTGCAGTGCCTTAACCGCCGTTCCACCTGCTGGCCCCTATACCTTATTCTTTACACCATTAACTCAAGGACACTGGGAGGAGGAAAGGCTGGGCTCACATGTGAAATTTTTAACCCCTTTGCAGGATCCCGGCCTTTCACTGGGAACTAGAACAAGCCTGTGGGCAGTCGCCCTGATGGGTGTGGGGGAACCAGGGTCTCAAGCTCAAGCCTACCGGGGCTTTGCGTCTCAAGTGGACTTTGTGTTCTGCAGCTGCTGGGGACAGCTTTTCCTTCACTGGTGCCACTGGCCCTGGGGATGGCCCAGCTCCTCCTCTGTGGGTGTCCTGCCCTTCTCCCCCAAACTCAGCCATCCGGCCATGCTCATTACGGTCTCTATCCACTGGAAACAGCCGTCTCCCACCCTGCTGTGCAGTGTTACTGTGATTAGATTACAGGAACACATACACACACACACACACACACACACACACACACAAAGATGAAAGGAAAAGTAAACCTACCCAAAAGGCCACAACAAGCACTGAGCTTTAGAGTCAGACAAACACGAGTCCAGCCCTCACTCCCAGAGTCGACTGCTTGCAGGAGTCTATTCCACAAGTATCGGATTCCTCATGTGATTATTAAATATTACTTGGGATGGTTAAGAATAATGTAAGTGAAAGTACTTAGCATATTTCCAAAATATAATAAATGATAAATTATGCTCTAATTTCGTATTGTAGAATGCAACTCAATATTCGGGGAGTAGCTTAAACTATTATCTCATCGGGATTTAAAAGTTGGATTACTCCTTTAATCCCTTGGTAACAAATACATTGACTATATTAACCTCCAGATTACTGTTTATTTTAGGTATGTCTTTGTCTAAAGACTGATATTCGTTACATGAGTTATGTGTTACCTTCCTGTCCTTCTTATCTAATAATTCCAGGTGCCAAGTAGAAACTCAGTAAGAAGCTGATGAATGGCAGCGGTGCACTCGTGTGACACAGCTTACTTCATTTCTCTGGGAAATATCTTTTCCTTTGTGTTTTCCTGCAAATGAACCATATGGCTCTTACTGAAATTTCCATGAAAATTTAGAAAAAAAGGGTTGCGATTTATATATATATATATATATATATAAAAGGGTTGCGACTTTTATAAAAAAACAAAAAACAAACACTGAAGTGAAGTCACAGTTATCAAACGTAAACCCTTGGCCGACAGCATAGGAGAGAGGACTGGTTTCCCTCCGACGTGCGTGCATTAGGTGCCGAGCATCGGCTCGTGTTAGTACGAGGACAGCACAGTCGATGGGACACTTGAGTGCGTCTGGAATCATTGGGCCTGGGTCCAAAGTGTGGCAGTAAGAAGGAAAGCAGTTTAATTAGGGCTAGCTAAGAGAACTGCCTGACTGTAATCAGGAAGCACTGACAAGTTCCCCTTTCCCGTTTCCAGCGAACGGCAGCGAGGTTCACATAAGCAACGTGCACTACGAAGACACCGGCGCATACACGTGCATCGCCCGGAACGAAGCCGGCGTGGACGAAGACATCTCCTCCCTGTTTGTGGAAGACTCTGCTAGAAAGACCCGTACGTACCGACCCCCACACACGACCCCCACTTTTCAGGGCACACGGTTTTACAGCTTTGTTCAAAAAGCATAGGTAGCAGAAACCTCTGTGAGATGCACAGTGCATTAAATAATTTTCACACGTAGAAAATAAAAGGACTCTTAAATAGGAAAAGTAGATAGAGAGATTTTTTAAAAGCTTGTGAGACTTTCACTACAAGGTTAGAATGATTTTATTTATTTTTCATATGATGTTTCAGGTCCTGTCTTTCCATGTGTTCACTTGGGAAGTTAAATCTCTTACCCGAATGTTATTTGGAAATTCAAGACTCCCGAGTGTGTTCCGGGTGTGTCCTGTAGGTTAAATAACTGGATATCCTTCCTCCCTGCTGGTGGCGTCATAGGCACAGCCTGGCAGCTGTGCCCAGCGGTTCTCTGCGGCAGCACTGTGGTGGCTGCCACCCTCGATGCTCACGGCCCTGGCACCAGCCTCGGAGGGCTCATTCTCAGTTTAGTGCTAGAAATCCTTTGTTCTAATGGTATGCGTCGTCTGGTTGTCTCTGGAAGTTGCATAATAATCATTATGATTACTAGTTGGCAAGAGGGCGAGGAGGGGCTGCAGATAAGGACGGCCTTCAGCCCCGTTGTGGTGCTCTTCAGTCCCCATGTCTGTGGCCACGTAAGCAGGTATGTGCTCCCTGATTGGCCGGGGACTAGATTTGGACGTGCTTGGAGTGAACGTTCCCCTTGCTCTCTGCTCTCGGTCTGGCTTGCTCTGCTCCCCTTCGTCCAAGTTTTGCAAGGATCTGGTATCTGGGGACTCTCTAGTTTGGCAAGCTTATTTCTGTGAACCCAGCTTTTGAAGTTAAAGCATTATCCCAGGAGCTTCTTATTCCTTCGGAGTAAGTCTGTGTACAAGAGAGCAGACCCAGCGAGGAGCAAGGACCTCATGTATGGAACTTTCAAAAGCGTCTTATAAGAAAGAGATTACACAAGAGAAAGATTGCTCTTTTTTCCCAAGTTTGGGAGTGATGTACTGGGGGTGTTCCTTGTGTGTTTTAGCCGTGAGAACTGTTCAGGGATCAAAAGTGGAAACGGATTTTAGTGGCAACCCACAAGCGTCAGGGATCACTCATTCACGCTTTTATAGTCTGGTTTTTCATGGGTATGAGATATAGTCGCATTGGAATAGCAAGCTTTACCTCTGAACTGGTACCAATAATTTCTGTTTATTTTATGATATTTATATATCTCACTGATATAAAGGTGCCCATTTTTAGGAAATAATGATGCAATTAAAATGAGGAAAATACTAAATAAGTAAACTAACCGAGTAGAATATTAGTCCCTACAGAAGGGTAAACTGAAAATAAGAATGTCAGTGTCATAGAAGACAGTTTTCTTGGGATCGTTCCTACTACTGAGATTTCGTACAACAAAACAGAATCAGAATGGGGTCAGGCACCATGGAGAACGGAACATCTGTAACACCCACATCGATTGCTCTGGCTTCTGCCCTCTTCACTCCATGGCATAGACCATCACTAACTTTGTACAGTTATAGGTTCTGTTTGTATTTTTTTAAGTTTATGTACTTATTTTCTTCATGAGAGGGAGAAGGGAGGGAGAAACAGTGACAGGCAACCTTAATGGGGTCTTACCCAGCCATCATCTTCCCCCCAACTTCCCTGCCAATCAGGGCCACACGTGTGCTCGGGCACACATGGTGTGTTCGAGTCACCTGGTGTCCAAGACTGGGTCTCCCGTGTGGCCCCGGCAGCTGTGCCCTACAGCCAAGGGTGACAATCTGTACTCTGTCAGATGATGTTTTCTAGAAAGCCAAGAGAATCCGTCTCTGACCCATTGTGGATGACTCCTCCCTTCTTATTTGCATATATTTAGTTCCAATCCACTAAAATATAGCTGCACAGATTTTCCCTTGTAGGGGTGAGTGAGAAGGAATACCGAGAGCAGATCCGTGTAAGAGTGTGGGTTTTCTGGCTCGATGAGGTTTGGGTCACAGAGTGGCTGTGTGGTTCGGGGTGTTACGGCTTCTCTGAGCTTCCTGCTTGCTGAATGGTGGCAGCACTAACACACGCTGGGACTTGGGTGCAGACCACAGTGACAGAGCACATGTCGCAGTGCCCCACATGCAGGACCCAGAGCAGCTCTTTTCTAACTCCAGCTTATTTTATGAAAGTAAAGTATTTCTTGCTCAAAATAGTGACAGAAAAGCTTTGGGAAAAAGAGAATCTAGAATTTCCTGTAAGTGTTAGAAATCAGAGAGTTTCTAGGTTGATTGATGCCTCTGGGTAGATTCAGATACATAGAAAACATATGAATGTATATGGTTATCTCTATTAATAGATAGCCAAACACAAAATAGTATTTCTTTCCTCATTAAAAAATAACAGTACTGAGCTGATTGGAATATACATTTTTTCCTTAGTGTGAATATTAAGAAATTTTAAGTAAAGATGGTTTTTTCCTTAGTGTGAATATTAAGACATTTTAAGTAAAGTCTCTTTTTGTCACAGAGTCAAAGCAAAGCTACCCTTCTCCTTGACATGGGCTACATTTATGTTCCTACTACATTTTGAAAATTCTTCTCTAATGCACCTTTTCCTATTTCCTTTTTTTTTTTTTTTGGAGAGATTTTCACTGTAGGGCACGTGCGCTCGCCAGACAGACAGAGAGAGACATAGAGACAGAAAGCGAGAAATCACCCCCCAGGGGGGATGGTCACGCCGCAGTCCCTTCTCCTCCATTCTCCTCTTAGGATCTTGGGCACGCACGCACACGCGCCCGGCGTGAGTTTTAAGCCACCGGGTCCGGGACACGAACCATGGTCGACTACGTGGGAGTCCAGCGACATAGCCATTACGCTAACTGCTGGTTCCCTCCTATTTCCTTTTGAAAGGTGCAAAGGAGTAAGGTATTAAACTCCTTGTAGTATCCATAAAAACGGGGAAGGATTTATGACTTGAGGATAAATGACACGTACAGATGGACTTTGCGTAGACACAGCTTCAGTGTGATACCCAGCTACTCCCCCCGGAGTACAGGACTCCTCCTGGGGTCACTCCCATTTTTTTCTCGCACTGCAGTTCCTGGCAGTGTGCGACTGCCTAGAGAGTGCGTCATGCGAAGCCCCCTCTGGCCAAGGAATTTGTGTTTTTGCTTCTACCCTGGTCTTTGAATTGGAAAACTTGGAGTTCCAGTCTCCAACTTTGTCAGTAAACCTCATCGGAAGTTTCCTCATGTGACAAATTGAATGACCACAAAGTGCTTTGAAAGAATATAATCTACGTTGCATTAAGGGTGGGGTTTGATGCAGACCTAAGGGAGGATTTAAATACTCAGAACACTAGAAATCACACAGCATATCGCACGGTGCTAACAGGGAGCGGGAGGTGATATGAAGTATGTGAGGGCCTTTGGGAGACCGAGCATCAGCCTCGGACACATTTCCACTCCCAAGAGGGGTCCACTCCCAGACGACAGTAGCTCATCTTCAAGACAAAGGGGCACGGGAATGGTGTGACGTAGGCTGCCACGCACGTGGGTAAGCCACAGCTACACCAGCGCAGAGCGCTGAGCCAGGACTTCAGTGGGACATGCGACCCATCCGGCTTCTTGCAAATGCTGGAGTGTGGCGTCCAGCGTCGCGTACTGGTGGTAGCTGGCAGTGTGTGCTGCCATGTTCTGATGCTGTGTGCGTTGTAGACTGTCACCATGGTCACGCGGAGTCACGTGGAGATGTCCGGCCGCTGCGACAACCCTCGCTTTACAATGAACTCTCACTCGTTAATGGTGGTTGACCATTTTGTTAACAGAAAATAATTGAACTGCCCACAATTGGTTATTTTACACTAGAAATTAATTTTAATGTTCTTTAAAAGGATAGTTTTAGTTGGGTTAAACTCTGCAAGATTATTTGAATATATAGTGCTTATAAATGCAGTAAGTATAATTCACAATACAGAGGTTTAGAAATGTGGTAAAAAAAAAAAAAAAAAAAAAAAAAAACAGCCATTTGTACCAAAATATTTCAAAAGGCCTAATCATGTCATGAGGTACTTGCCTATATTAGAAGTAGAGAAAAGGGTTTGTAAGCAGGTTAGAAAGATAGCCTCTTGGGACCAGCAGTTAGCATCATGGCTATGTCGCTGGACTTCCACGTAGTCAACCGTCCCAGACCCAGTGACTTAAAACTCACACCAGGTGCGTGTGCGTGCATGCCCAAGATTCCGAAAGGAGAATGGAGAAGGGATTGCAGTGTGGCCATCCCCCTGGGCAGTGATTTCTCACTTTCTGTCTGTCTCCGTCTGTCCGGTGAGAAAACAGCCATTTGTACCGAAATATTTCAAAAGGCCTAATCATGTCATGAGGTACTTGCCTATATTAGAAGTAGAGAAAAGGGTTTGAAAGCAGGTTAGAAAGATAGCCTCTTGGGACCAGCAGTTAGCATCATGGCTATGTCGCTGGACTTCCACGTAGTCAACCGCGGTTCGCGTCCCAGACCCAGTGACTTAAAACTCACACCAGGTGCGTGTGCGTGCATGCCCAAGATTCCGAAAGGAGAATGGAGAAGGGATTGCAGTGTGGCCATCCCCCTGGGCAGTGATTTCTCACTTTCTGTCTGTCTCCGTCTGTCCGGTGAGCGCACGCACCCTATAGCAAAATATAGCTTTTTTACATGAAAGCAATGTGAACATGGCATTGTAAACTTTCAAGCTAGAAGATTCTGGTAATACAGGAAAATTAATTAACCTCTCTCATCCTTATTTATTTCCTATTTTTAAAGACTAGAGAAAATAGCTACTTCGAAAGAGGGTCACTTTAAAGAGATCACTTCTGTTTTTATCTTGTTAATGTCTTCAGGGTCCAGGGAGATAATATAAATAGGTGCATGGTGTGGTCTGACCAGGTGGAAATGAAGCTAAACCCAGGCATCATCGATTAGTAATTATTTTCACACTCAACCAAGGTGAGGGGGGCGAGGCCATTGTCAGATTAA